TGGAACTGATTGATACAATCGCCTTTTCCTTTTACGTGCATGATATGTGTATGAAATCGGATGTTTTATTTATTCTTAGGCTATCAGTTTGTTTAAATCTAAAATATTTATTAGTGAAACAGGCAACAACGAAAATTATTGAAAAAATCTAACAAAAGAATTCGTGCAGTTTCATTTTTAACGACCCTGAAAATACTCTTCGAATATTCAAAATTCGACTAGGCCAGTTCATTGTTTAGATGGAAATTCTTTCTGACTGTTTGTCAGCTACCGAGTTAAAGTAAGAATTGGAAATATTTGAAACTTCAACACAATTTATCGTAAGCAATTTTATCATTATTATGTTCTTCAGTGTGCTACAAAGATGAATACAACAGCTGTGTTAAGCACTACAACTACCAAACTTCTCATCTCGCAAATCGGTTCTCACTTGCGCTCAAAACAGACACTTGCAAAATGCATGATTCAAATAGTGAGCATATGCTTCGAATGTGTGCGATTTTCCGATATTCCAATCGAGATTTTTCGTAGGTAAACATTTCATTGAATGTTTCACTATTACAGCCTTTGCGATTCGTCAACTTTTAGCCTGAATTCAGCTACTTTTTTTCTGATGGCTTTGTCGTACTTCTGATGGCAGATGGTTGTTGCAGCAGTAGGGTGTTTTACACCGACAACCAACATCTGCGGCGATGCTGCAGGGATGATGTGTTAGAAAATTTCGGCCCTCATATTTCATACCTCACGCTTCGCTGCGGATTTTCGTCTCGGGCGGTCAGGGTAATCACTACGGTCTTTTAAAAGCGGAGCTTATACCAAAAAAACCTGTCATCAATAGGCCGTGCGATATCAGCCTCTTCGGCTCTCCAGTCTCGATCCCAGGACTATAAGACCAACCTTAATCTATGTTCCTTTTCAGGTTCCTCAGTAAACAACTTTCCACGGTGTGGGCAGCCGGGAATTTACAGCCGCCCTCAAACCCGTAATAGCACCTGAGACCGAATTGGTCAAAATCAAATCCTTCTTACTCCACCTATTATCTCTTTTATTTGTACGACTATCTCTAGTTACATTTCTTCATCTCACTGCACCCCTAATGCAAACGATGTGAGTTCACGAAACGTCATCCCTCGTTTCCTTAAACCCCGTTCTAGACTACATGTTGAAGTATTGAATGTACGGACATTGTGTGGAATAGGGCAACAGGCTTCTTTTAGAATCTCGCTCAATCAATGTGTGCTGCTTCTCAGAAAAGCGCATACAGGATCCTGGTAAGATCAATAATCTGATTTCACCTTATCAGAATAAAGAAGCAGCCCGATTTACATTTTTGTATCCGGTATTCCTGATGCTGCTTTACAGGGTCTCGCTGGTGTAGGTATAGCATTGAGTCGTAGGGCAGAACTATCTCTCCGAGACTGGATCCAAATAAACAGTCGCATGTGCGCTGTCCGACTAAACGGGACAGTCAGGATTCGGAAAGATAGGGACACCAGTCGTTGCCTCTTCGTCGTATCTGCCTATGACCCCACTGTCTGCAGTTCAGACGAGGTTAAAGATAAGTTTTACAGAAAGCTTTCGAACCTCCTCCAAAAGGCTAGATGCTCTGATTTAGTAATAATGGCTGGTGAATTTACTGCTCAAGTAGGCAGACTAAGTGAAAATGAAAGACACCTTTGTGGTTTTTACGGTGTCGGGGCTAATAGAACAGACAATGGCGACCGTCTGTTGCAAGTATGCCCAGATAATGGTCTATTTCTAGCAAACACTAATTTTAGGCATAAGGAAAAACATCTTTGGACCTGTGGACCCCCACAGTCGTCTTAACGTTGGACCCAAATATATCACATCGCCATCAGCCACCGATCGAGAGGTTCAATAGAGGACTGTTGCTCATTCTGGGGCACATGTTTAGATTCAGATCATGCCGTAGTGCGAGGAACAACTAGAAAGGGAGTTAGGCGACAATGTAAGTGATTCCCATCCAGAGGCAGCTTGGAATGATATCAAAAAGGCTGTAGAAACAGCAGTGATATCTTCTAGTAAGGCAAACTATAGGCCTGGGATGAAGCCGAAGATCTCAGTAGCATCCACCGAACTGATCGAGGCTCGAAAACTCATCTGACCTCGCTCTAAACATGATGAAGAACAAAGTCATATAAGTCACAGACTGATAAAAAGCCTACGTAACGACCGTGAACAGTGGTGGGTGGCAAAAGTAAAAGCGATGGTTTTATGTTTTGTGGATCTGGTTTTCTCCCGTCGCCACTTTTATGTTTTGTACTTGATGTAACGCCAAACCACTGTACTAATGACACACCGAACGTTAGACCTCTCCGTTCAAAAATAAGAAGACGGAAGATGTTGGAGAACGCTTATTATCAGAATCAAAAATGTACAATCAAACATGCGTATTTATGCAATTATATAAGTGTCGTTAAATATTTTGAACATGAATCAAATAGTTCATCATGAACATTTATCACATAGTTCATCATTAATGAAATAGTTTATCAAGAACATTATTCATATAGTTCATCAATAATGAAATAGTTTATCATGAACATTAATCAAATAGTTCATCAATCCACAATATGCGTGGCTTTCTTCTCGATTGGCTATCCCAAAAGATGGAAAAAGCAGCAGCAATAGGCAACAACAAACAGTTGTACCAACTTATCAAGGAAACCGGTATTAGGAAACCGAATGTGAGTGAGACTATCAAGGAAACCGATGAGACTAGCATTCATTCACAATCCAGGAGATTGGACAGATGGACATAACACTTTCAGGATCGGTTCAATTTGTCTTCAGCCACACTTCCGTTACCCACGTTCTCCAGTCATCCTGAATGGCGAATCGACTTAAGTCCTCCTAGTCTTTGTGAATCTGAGAAAGCCATTGGAAAGCCAAAGCGAGGTAGAGCAGCAGGTCCTGATAGCTTAAGTCCTGAGATTTTTAAGTATGGTGGTCCAGTTTTAACAATTTGACTGAGATTTTAGGTGGAAGCTGGTAACTGTACGAAATCCCATCTGACTGGTCTCAGTCGCTAATTATCCCAATCATAAGAAAGGGCAGAAGTCTTCTTGTGACAGTCACGGGGGAATAAGTCTAACTAATATAGTTTCTAAATTGTTAGCTTCGATAATCCTAATGGGCCTTACTAGAGCTTTTGATGAGCAGACTCGAGAAAACCAGGCTGGTTTTCGACCTGAACGTGGCTGTATAGACCACATTTTCACACCACAGCGGGTCCTGGAACACAGACACACATTTGGCGCAGGTACATCCACTCTTTGTGTTCTCTCTAATTCTAACCTTCTGAATTCCTTATAATCTCTATCTTTCTCTTTACAAATTCATCTAACTGAATTACACTTTCGAATCATATCTTCACTCCCTTATCTAATCGATTGCTACTAATACTTTTAATAACGCTAACGTTGTTCAATCTGTAATTTCAGAGCGCATCACTAATATTTAAACGAAATATTTGGCTGAATTCAAGTAACCCGCCTAAATATCTGCTGCTTAGGAATCATGCACCACATTTTCAGAGTAAAATAGCCGTCATCGCCAAGTGGTACACTTGTTCCTTGTTAGACAGACAGATTTGTTGCCTGGTCTCAGCATGCATCATTGTTATTTCAGTGAGAGATTTTGCCTAGTTCGAAGCATAGCCAGAGTTTATCTTTTCACTTTTTCAGAAGCTGAAACGGTCCTTCGGGTCTGCCACAGTGTGCGAAGATTCAGTGAATTTATTTTACTGTAACTCAGTTTGCCAGAAAGAGAATTATACTCATTACGTGAAGCAAAACTTAACTTTCACCACTGAGCATCATAAATCCTTGAGATAAAGACTACACGGATTCGAGAGTGGAGATAAAATGGTTCAAATTATCTGTTCTGGTTAACGTTTTGTTTAGCCAGATAAGTTTCTATGGGATTACGTATCTGACCCAATTTAAAATACCTCTCCTCGCGTCGACAGTAACCGTAGAAGTGCTGAGTGTTTATTTTTGAAGAACATGTTTTACTAACAATAAAACGTGAATCACTACATTATCATCAAGATCCAGTAAACTGAGTAGTTCAGCTTGTATCCTCCTTCCTGAATTCAACGTATAATAGTTTGACAAAGTAAATGAATTTGGTCGCATTGAAGACAATAATATCATCTTTTCACATTATTTCATTTTGTGAAGCGGAAAGTTCAATTGCATCATTTACTATTGCTTCGAACATCGACCTCGAACAGATCATAAATACAAGTGTGCATATTGTCTTTTAGTATTGTCCGAATGAGAGAAAATAACAACGACTTATGTAATTATCGT